ATCCACCCTCCTCTACTGGCTTTCCATATGGATGCAGGCTCATATCTTGGCTGCCTGCTTCCCGTTCAGCTCCCTGCTTGTTTACCGGGAGAGCAGTAGAGGACGGCGCAAAGCCTTGGGACCCTGAACCCATGTGGAAAATCTGGAAGAAGCTCCTGGATCCTGGCTTCAGATCAGCTACAACTGTTGCAGCTATTCGGGGAGTGAACCTTTCCAATAAAAAATAAAATCTTTAAAAATAGCATCTAAAAAAATTTGACCGAGAAACTCCAATTTGGGACATCACGTCTCCTCCCCACTCTCATCCCCTTTCTTTCTTTTTTTTTTTCAAAGACAAGAAGAGTCAGTTTTTTCTCTCCGCTGGGAAATGCCCACAACAGGCAGAGCTGGCACAGGTTGCAGACAACAGTTAGAAAACCAACTGGAGTCTCCTGAAAGGGCACCAGAGACCCAAGTGCTTGACTGCCACCTGCTGCCTCCCAGGGTGACACAGGGTGTAAGCCAGCGTCCTCACTGCCAGGCTAACTGCCCACACTTCACTGGTGCTTCCAGCTGGCACAACAGGACTAACCACCAAGAATCAAGGCAGGGTGAGTGTGGAGGGGGCGTCATTGCACAGAGACCCCTGGCCATGCTGAGGCAGCCTCAAGAAGGTGACCCATCACCTGCACTCCACCCGCCAGTCTGTTCTCTGGCTTCTCCACTCCCGTTCATATAGCTCCCACCCCAGACGGTGGGCTTAATGAAATCAGATCTCTTTTCAACTCCTCAGAGTTCTACTAAGAGTGCTTTATCTGCAACCCACTGGGGAAGCACCATATACATGGGGTGGGGGGGGAGCACATACATAAGAGAAACAGATATATAGCATATCAAAGAAAAATAAAGCATGGTGCCAGATACTCTTAGGTTCTGTGATGTCCTCCCACATCTCCACCTCCACCGCAGCGCCGGGAGGGAACGGTCACCCTGTGCTTCTATCTGCTAGGCGTCATGAGCTCCATTTGCTGCTAGCATCTGACCTGCACTGCAGCCAAACCCAAGAGAATCAGCTTCCGCCACCATACCTGTTCTTCTTAATATCATGTCATTCAATGTTCACCCACAAATGCACCCTGAGAAGTTCCCTGAGCTTACAGTGCTGAACAAAACAGGAAAGATCCCTGGCTTTGGGCCCGGCGGCATGACCTAAAGTCCTTACCTTGAATGCGCCGGGATCCCATATGGGCGCCAGTTCTAATCCCGGCGGCTCCGCTTCCCATCCAGCTCCCTGCTTGTGGCCTGGGAAAGTAGTCTAAGACGGCCCAGAGCATTGGGACCCTGCACCCGTGTGGGAGACCTGGAACAAGTTCCTGGCTCCTGGCTCCGGCCATTGTGGTCACTTGGGGAATGATTCATTGGACGGAAGATATTCTGTCTCTCCTCCTCTCTATGTATTTGACTTTGCAATAAAAATAAATAAATCTTTAAAATAAAAAAAGATCCCTGTCTTTGAGGATTTACCTGTCTAATCGGAGACACAAAATGGAGCAAAGACCTAAATAACTAAACACGTAATGTATATATTAACAATCATAGTAGCAGGGTTGTTTCCCTAATAACTGATGTTAAAGGTTTTAAGCGCAGTGTTGTTGCATAGTGGTGGATAAAGCCAAGAACACACAATGCCAGATTCCCATAAGGTTGTCAGTTCAAGTCCCAGCCTCTTTACTAACCAATCTAGTTCTCTGCTACCACACCCGGGAAAGCAGTGGAAGTTGGCCCAATCGCTTCGGCAGCTGCACCCACGCAAGAGACCTAGAAGCAGCTCTCAGTTCCTGGCTTCAGCCTGGTTCAGCACTGGACATTGCGGCCAGCTGGGGTCAGCTCTTTCAAATAAATAAATCTTTTAGAAAAAAAAAATCTTACATTTTGGGCCCGGCAGTGTGGTCTAGTGGCTAAAGTCCTTGCCTTGAACACACCGGGACCCCATATGAGCGCCGGTTCTAATCCCAGCAACTCCACTTCCCATCCAGCTCCCTGCTTGTGGCCTGGGAAAGCAGTCAAGGACAGCCCAAAGCCTTGGGACCCTGCACCTGTGTGGGAGACCCGGAAGAAGTTCCTGGATCCTGGCTTCGGATCAGTGCAGCACCAGCCGTTGTGGTCACTTGGGGAGTGAATCATGGGACGGAAGATCTTCCTCTGTCTCTTCCTCCTCTCTGTATAACTGACTTTCCAATAAATAAATAAGTCTTTTTAAAAAAAATCTTACATTTGAGTTGGCCTTTTTTATATATTTGCTTTTAATGGAAAGGTAGATTTATGGAGAAAGGGAGAGACAGAAATATCTTCCGTCCACCGGCTCACTCCAAAAGTAGCCACAACAGCCAGAGCTGAGCTGATCTGAAGCCAGGAGCCAGATTTTTCTGAGTTTCCCATGTGGGTGCAGGGTTCCGAAGCTTTGAGTCATCCTCCACTGCGCTCCCAGGCCACAAGCAGGGAGCTGAATGGGAAGTGGAGCAGCCAGGACATGAATCAGCACCCATATGGGATCCTGGTGTTTGCAAGGTGAGGATTTAGCCAATTGAGCCATCACTCCAGGTCCTTAGGTTAGGTTTATGTTTCAACTTTTATCACCAATCAACAAATCTTTTACTAAAACTCAAAATCCACCGCTTCCCTGCATTTCCTCTGCCACCAATTTCATGCAGGACATTAAGCTCAGCCAGAATTACAATCCTCACTGGCCTCCTTGCTGCCCTCTTGCCCCACCTCACACAGCTCTATTAAAATCATCATCGAGGGGCGGCTTGGGCATAGCAGGGCAAGCTGCGGCTGGCAGCACCATCCTCCCACACCACGGTCCAACTCCCGGCTACCCCACTTCAGATCCGGCTTCCTGCTAGGGTACCCGGCTAGGCAGTGTCTGAAGACAACAGTCCTTGGACCCCTGCCCACCTGGGTGGAGTTCCTGACTCCTGGCTTCAGCAAGACAGACCAGGACGTTTCTGCAGCGGCTGCCTAGTGCACACTGCCTACCTTCTGAGGGGGGGTTCTCCACGTGGCTCCCCCCGAGGGATGGAGAAGTGGAGATGAGGCGTCCCCCCTCTCCATTCTCCAACACGGGGGCTCTGGCTTCCCTGCCCAGCGCCCCCATCGGCCCCGGGCATGCCATCAGGAGCCCAGAGCAGCCTCGGAGGGCGTGCGTCCCGGGCGGGCCGGGGGCACACACACCTGCTCCAGGAGGTAGATGAGCTGGTCGCGGGCAAGCCTCTTGAGCATGGAGAAGTCCGGCAGCTCAGGGGCGTCCGGCCGATGCGGGAAGGCCATGGCGGCGGCCCCGGCGAGACGCTGGTGGCTGCGCCCGGACTTGCAGCGCGGGGTGCCCGTCTGGGACCCGCAGCCGCCGCGCACCGCGTCCCTCCCGGCGCCGGGCGAAGGAGCCCCGGCCAGCGGACACCACTCCGCCTCCCGTCCGACACTGGCCACTTCCTAGGTCTGCCGGAAATCCCTTTGATTGGAGGAGGAGCGCTGGGCGTTCCGTGAACGGGACGGCGTTCTGAAAGGGACAATCGAAAAAAGCGAAGGCAATGCGTCAACCTCGGTATCAGAGGAGCTTTTCTATATGATTATACCTAGAGCTAATGCTGAAGGAAATGCCCAATTCTCCTGGATTTCCGACCCTCCCCCCCGTTGAGCACTTGTTCGGTTTTCAAGAACTTCGTGAAAGAGGCGAAGCCAGCTCCGAGTCTGCATGGATGGCTTGGGTCTTGACTGTCAGTCATGACAAGCTGTTTGCACCAGCTTGGCCAAGAGCTGCCGACTGTGGGGATCCCTGGCTTAAAGCAGCCGGGGGTGGGACGCTGACGCGGAGGGAAGTGGACTTTGGCCAGCTGTGTTGGCAATGGTGGTGATGGGTGCACAGGTTTCATTGCACTGACACATTGTTTGAAAAGCTCCATGCTGCACGGTTAACAGGCAGGTTTTTGTGCTGAGCTTCTCCACGCCTCCAGGGGGCTTGGACCCGAGCTGACACATGGAGATGATGGCCTCCATTCCCAATGCCCCTTGAAGCAGACAAGGGAGGTGTGTGTCCTCCGGGAGCTGCTGTTGTACAGCTTGCCAGCAGCCATCAAACTTGGTCACCACACCGCTGAGGCGCCGTACCACCTGCTGCCACAGCTCTCCAGCTGCAAAGGAGCCGTGTCACCTGTGCTCCGCAGTGAAGACCCTCTTCACCCAGGGCGGTGACATCCTCAAACAGGAGTGCCTGTCAATGGGGTCATGGCAGTTCTACCACCCAGCTATACTGCAACCTCCCAGAAGGGCAGTATCCTTCGACAGAAATGCCTGCCAATGTAGACCTGGGCAGTTCCACTACCACAGCCTCCCAGGTAATCAGGGCCAGTGACATGAGCTGGGTCAGTGACAGAACAGAACAGAACAGGGCTGGAGCAAGTCCAGGCACATTGGCTGAGGATAGGATGGACAGGCAGAGATAGCAAAAGGCTGGCTTGCTGGCTGTGGTGTCCCACAGCCATTTCTTCATTCATCCACACTGGGCTGTGGATCTACATTTCAAAGGGGGCAAAGTGGATGACAAACTGGAAATATAGGTATAGGCTTTAGAACATCCAAGTGTGATAACAGTGATACGGAGTTTTGGGGTTTTTTTAAGCGTTTGCTTTTTATTATTTATTTATTGGGGCCAGCACTGTGGCCTAGTGGGTAAACCACCACCTATTATGACACCAACATCCCATGAAAGCACCATTTCCAATCCCAGTGGTGCCACTTCCAATCCAGCTCCCTACTAGTGGTCTGGGAAAGCTGCTGAAGATGAACCAGGGGCTTCAGCCTGGCTCAGCCCCACTTGGTAGTGGATAATCTTACTTTCAAAGAAATCTTAAACACTAAGTAGAATGCTCTACACAGCGCTCTGCTGGGGATCCCACATTCCATCTTGTTTAATTCTCCAAGGTTCACACACCACCATACCCTGGAGACCAGCACGCAACAGAGACTGCATTTTGCTTTATTTTTCTACACATGAGGAAATAACCAGTTGACTAGGCAATTCCAGAACTGCTAGTGTTCATTGATTAAGAAGGAATGAGGCCAGAAGGTAAACTATTCACTTCCCCTCGGATACATATTGCACAAGTATCACAAAAACATCCAAGACATGCAAACTTGAGCCTGCACAAGGAGGGTGACTGGGGGCAATGCACAGGGGTCAGACTGGGAGCAGGGCTTTGCAAAAGCTCCAATCCACCCACACAGCATTCCTGGCACCTCCTTCACTCCCAGGCGGCCAATCCACAAGCAGAATCCCAGGCAGTTTCAGACAGCCTTGTCCACCGTGTTCCATAGCCGTTTCCATGGGCTGGCCCCTGCTCAAACTCTGTATAGGAAGTTTCCATTGCTGTCATAGAACTCCCGCCCCCTCTGCACTACTTTGCTGCTAAAGTTCTCACTGTGAACCTCCCCTCCTTCCAGCTCTTCCGGCACCTTGCTGCTGGACAGCTGATGGTCACGCGTGGAGGACTTTGGGAACTCTCTCTGCCAACCCAAGGCTGCAGTGCCAGGCACCAAGCTCTCCTGCTGGCCCCGGTCGCCTTGACTCCGCCCCTTCTGTCTCCTCGGGGCACCTGTATCAGGCAGATTTGCCTTCACCACCCTCAAAGCCTTGCCCGGACCCTGACCCCGAGCTGAGGTTTCATCTCCTGGCACCGGGCTAAGGCTGGCCAGGAGTGGCTTTACTGCATCCACAGGGCCCTGGAGCTGCAGTACCGACTGCGCCAGCCCAGCTTTCTGAAGGACTTTCTGATCCTGCTTCAGCTTCTGCTCCAACAAGGGTACAAACTTGCTTTTTAAAACCCTTCGTATCACATCGGGGCTGACACCAAAGCCTTCAGCCAACCTGGGAACTGACCAGCACTCTGTAAATTCTTCATGTAAATACCTGTGGGGAAAAAAAAAGAACAGGTGCTTAAGTTGCCAAGTCTCCTATCAGAACATCTACTGATAACACTGGTGATAAGCAAGAGGATGCTTCAGGAGTAGTGGGGACGAAGCCCCACCTGTGCCCATTACACAGCCATGTTCCATTGCTGTGTACCATCAGCAGCAGTGGCCTTCACCTAGTGGCAGTGGGAACACATCCCACTGCAGTCTAACACCTGTTGTGGGTCCTGGGAATGAAGGAGTGACCTTCCAGAGCACAGAACAGTCACCCTGGGATGACTGTCAGAGCAGGATGCAGTGAGAGCCCCAAAAGGGAAATACAGGGATGGGCAACCGAGTCATCGCCTGGCGTGAGGCAAGTCCCTGCTCAAGCAAGCATGGGCGGCCACTTGGCCTGTGGTGCATGGAGAACATGTGCCTGGGAACACGAGCCTGCTTCTTGGGCCTCAGGTGTATTAACCATCAGAACAGAGGGGATAGGCTAAACAGAAAGGCTGAAAAAGCTGTGGCTCCTGTCATCAGACAGCTGCCTGCAGGACTAGGAGGGGTTCCAGACTCACAGATTCCTTTACCCTCCACCTCAAGTCAGCCATGCTGATGAAAATGGAAAGCGGGTCAGACAGGCATCTTGAGATCCAGCAACTCTACTTCTGTGAGCAGCAGAGATGCGAGAAGACACACACACACACAAGATCTCTGATGCAGAACTGCAGGAACGAACCATCACAAACCCCAGGAAAACACACTCTGGGTGACCATACATGGATGAGAAGGAACCCAGTAGTTTTCTAAAATGGAAACAAATGATCCACTGAAATCCAGGAAAAAGATTTCTCATCTGTTCCTTTCTTATGATTCAGAAGATAAAAATAAATATTTAGATTCTTACTTGCTTGTATATGCGTATGGACACCTGAAACACTCAAAAACTGAAAAAAACAAAACTGTAGCCATAGGCTTGTGAGCATTGGGAACCAACATGAAGACAGGATGGAGAAGAGGGGTTCCTGGCACATATTCTCCAGGTGTCTGGAAAGACACACCCTTGTTCCTTTAACCACATCCACACCTGTCTGGGTGACAATAATGTGGACATGATGCAGTGGCCCCAAAATGTTACCATGGCAACACTGGAAGCATCTGCAGTGCAGCACACTGCTGGCTTTGTTGCGAACCAAAAAATTGAGGGGAAGACTCCTGCCATGAGAAGTTCAGTGTGCGCAGGGAGGTGTGACACCCTTCCAAAATGTGGGAAGGAAAAGGATCAGAAAGAGGAAGTGCAAGAGAAGGCCACCTTGTCAGGACCCGTGGGCAGCAGCTGAGCTGCTGGGACCCATCCCCTCAGAATTCAGGCATACCAAGTGTACAGCAAAAATATCTCTGCACTGAAAAAAAAAAAAACTGTACCCACAGAAATTTAGTGGGACAAATAATCATCAGTGTGTTACAGACAACACATCACGGCCTGGTGCAGTAGCTTAATGTCTCGCCTTACATGCGCCAGGATCCCATATGGGTCACCGGTTCTTATCCTGGCAATCTTGCTTCCCATCCAGCTCCCTGCTTGTGGCCTGGGAAAGCAGTTGAGGACGGCCCAAAGCCTTGGGACCCTGCACCCGCGTGGGAGACCTGGAAGAGCTCCTGGCTTCGGACAGTCACAGCTCTGGCTGTTGCAGCCACCTGGGGAGTGAATCAAGACCTGTCTCTTCTCTATATTTGGTTTCCAATAAAAATAAAATAAATGTTTGGGCCCGGCGCGGTGGCGCAAGTGGTTAAAGGTCCTCGCCTTGCACGCCCGGGATCCCATATGGGCGCCGGTTCTAATCCCGGCAGCCCCGCTTCCCTTCCAGCTCCCTGCCTGTGGCCCGGGAAAGCAGTCGAGGACAGCCCAAAGCTTTGGGAACCTGCACCCGCGTGGGAGACCCGGAAGAGGCTCCTGGCTTCGGATCGGCATAGTATCGGCCCGTTGTGCTCACTTGGGGAGTGAATCATCGGACGGAAGATCTTCCTCTCTGTCTCTCCTCCTCTCTGTATATCCGCCTTTCCAATGAAAAAATAATAAAAAATAAATCTTTAAAAAAAAAAATAAATAAAATAAAATAAAATAAATGTTTAAAAAAAAACATATCACAATTTTTTAAATTTAATTTTTAAAGATTGATTTGTTTGGGCCCGGTACAGTAGCCAAATGGCTAAAGTTCTTGCCTTGCACATACCAGGATCCTATGAGCACTGGTTTGCATCCTGGCTGCCCTACTGCCCTTCCAGCTCCCTGTTTGTGGCCTGGGAGAGCAGTTGAGGACAGACCAAAGCCATTGAAAAAAAATGTTTGCTTTTCATTATTTTTTTTTTTTTTAAAGATTTATTTTTATTGTTTTTTTCATTGGAAAGGCGGATATACAGAGAGGAGATACAGAGAGGAAGATCTTCCATCCGATGATTCACTCCCCAAGTGAGCCGCAACGGGTCGATACTATGCCGATCCGAAGCCAGGAGCCTCTTCCGGGTCTCCCACGCGGGTGCAGGGTCCCAAAGCTTTTTGGGCCGTCCTCAACTGCCTTCCCAGGCCACAGGCAGGGAGCTGGAAGGGAAGCGGGGCTGCCGGGATTAGAACCGGCGCCCATATGGGATCCCGGGCGTGCAAGGCGAGGACTTAACCACTTGCGCCACCGCGCCGGGCCCAGCTTTTCATTATTTTTTAAAAGATTTTATTTATTCTTATTAAAAAAGCAGATTACAGAGAGGAGAGACAGAGAGGAAAAATCTTCCATCCACGGATTCATTCCCAAAGTGGCAGCAACAGCTGGGGCTGCGCTAATCCAAAGCCAGGAGCCAAGAGCCTCTTCCAGGTCTCCCAGGCAGGTGCAGGATCCCAACTGCTTTCCCAGACCACAGGCAGGGAACCGTATGGTAAGCGGAGAATCCGGGATACGAACCAGGCCCATATGGGATCCCAGCAGATGCAAGGTGAGGATTTAGAGACTAGGCTAATGCACCAGGTCTAACACATTACAATTTTTAAAAAATATTTTTATTGGAAAGTCAGATTTACAGAGAGAAGGAGAAACAGAGAGGAAGATCTTCCATCTGTTGATTCATTCCCCAAGCAGCCGCAATGGCCAGAGCTGTGCCAATTTGAAGCCAGGAGCCTCTTCCGGTTCTCCAAGTGGGTACATGGTCCCAAGGCTTTGGGCCACCCTCAACTGCTTTCCCAGGCCACAAGCAGGGAGCTGGATGGGAAGCAGGGCCATTGGGATAGAACTATGGGATCCCAGCCCATGCAAGGGGAGGACCTTAGCCACTAGGCCATCACACCAAGCCCTACATCACAATTTTAAAGTGACTCCTTTTAAAGGTTTTCCAAGATACAGATCCTTTCTTCAGAAAAATGCTCAGAGACACAGAACCAGAACTGGAAGCCCTAACTCTGGGCCATCATGTGGGCCAGCACTGCTGCTCAGTAGGTAAAGCTGCTGCCTGCAGTGCCAGCATCCCATATGGGCACCGCTTTGTGTCCCAGCTGCTCCACTTACCATCCTGCTCTCTGCTAATGTGCCAGTAAAAGCAGCAGAGGATGACCCGAGTGTATGGGTCCCTGCAACCACATGGGAGACCCTGGCACAGCTCCTGGCCTCAACCTGGCCCAGCACTGGTCATTGCAGCCTTCTGGGGAGCGAACCAGCAAAGGGAGGAACTCTTCCTTTTTTTTTTCTTCTCTATGTAACTCTTTCAAATAATATAATAAATCTTTTTAAAAAGCAAACAAAAAAACGCAATTACCAAAAAAACAAACAAAAACAGTAACAGAGAAACACTGTGATGACATAGCATTCAGAAATTAAATGTTGAGGTCTTTGCAATCTATGATTTTAGAATTTAAGCAAAAATTAACCAATTGCAACATATTAAACACTACTAAATTTAGATGCCAGGTTTATGGAAACCTAACCTACTACTCTATGTTCTATCAGAAGATTTCACTGATTTTAAGTGTGAGGCAACACTGGCTTGCAGGCCCTGCGTGGGCTCTGTTCACACTGTGGGTTCCATGTCTGCTGCTGGGTTTTTGTCAGTGTCCTCTGACAACCAGCACCAAGCATGCCAAGTGGGGTCCCCAGCATCTTCCTGAGGGTGCTGCTTCCCATCCGGCCCTCCCATGGTCATTGTGGGAATTTGGGGGAAGTGAAAAAGCAGCTGAAAGCTATCTCCCTGTCATTCTGCCTCTTAACTATGTGAAAATAAACACATTTTCCCCAAAAATTGATTTTGTAAAAATATAAAAAATTTTTTTAAAAAGCGCTACCAGGTGTACTAGATCCTACTAACCTGCATCTGTCATCTCAATGTGGGGTCCCCCCAGTCTTACCGGATCTGATCCATGGCTTCCCACGTCAGGGTCCTGGGGGGGGCCCCAGGTGCCTCCATTTGCCTCCGAAGTCTCTGGAACCGGATGGCTTTTTTCTGTCGTTTCAGGGTGCTGGGAGAGAAAACCAACGGCAGAAGCCATACGTGGAAGCCAGGCGGGGTTTTGTTTTTTTGAAGAGCCTGCTTGGAGCCGAACTTATCACAGCGGGCGTCCACAAGGGCCGAGGGTTGCCGCGCTGTGCACCCCTGGAATGGAACACCTGCCCGCGAGCACGCCCAGTCTACACAGAAAATGATGCGCTGAGTGACCAGCGAGGCCACCTGCGGTCCCCAGGAGACCCAACAACCCCCACCCCTCCTCTGCGCTCTGACTCGGGGGGACAAAACACGGGGGGCGGCTGCGGAGGCCCCGACGGGTCAGCGGCCTGGGGTGTCGGGGCCGCCAGCGCCGGCTTCAGGCCGAGCGCCCGAGGACGAGGCGCTGGTACCTCTCCAGCTCCTGCAGCTCCCGTTCCTCAGGCTCCCAGTCGGAATCGGGGTCCGGCTCGCGGCCGACGGGGCCCGGGCCCGTCACCGCCCGGGTCGCGAACCCGCAGCGAGACAGGGCCGCGAGTCCGCGCCGGCCCAGCAGGGCATTCAGTGCAGCCGCCATGTCGACGCGCCCTGAGCTTGTGCTGCTCCGGAAGCCAGCGGGCGGGTCCGGAAGCGGGAGGACCACGTCGCACGTCGGGCGGGCTCCCGGGGTTGGGAGGAATGGGTGGCACCTGCTCGTTTACTCTCTGCGCGCTCTGGCGCTAACTGTACGGCGAGGGGAGGGAAGCGGGGGGGATTACCAAATGAGGTACAGGACGCGCCTGGAAAACGACATAAACTTTAATAAAAAGATTCAGCTGCCCAAAGCCGCCCGTCTGCCCCAGGCCTGATGGTTCCCAGCACCGCGGCGGGGAGGGCGTCCCCCTCGGCCTTCTCCCGACGGCTGCAGCCCGGTGCGCACTCGCCCCACGCCGCCCCCACGGTCCAGACCCATCACCCAGCGAGGAAACAGCAAGTTAGGGCGCAGAGATGGAGCGCATGGCCGGCCGCGGCTCCTATTCTTCGCCCTTCCCGAAACCATCTTAGGGAGTTGATTTCGTCTTTTTGGTGTCTTTATGTCGGGGGCCTGGCCCAGGGCTCTTACAGCTGGAGGCCGGTGGCAATGGTTCATTGCCTCTGGTCGGGGAGCCTCTCCTGTGGGCGTGCTTCCTCCAGAACAGGCTGACTTGATGGGCAGTCTCTCTCTGCCTGCTATTTCACCAGTGCTGGCTGATGCGGAAGAGGGCGCTGGAACGCTGCTGCATCGGGGCAGAGGCGCGATAGAGGCTGAGCGTTGTGGTGGCCAAGGGTTCAGAGCTTAGCATGGAGGGCAAAGTGTGTCCAGTCCACGACTCACATGCCAGTCTCTCTGGGTGCAAGAAGTAGCCTTGCTTGGGGGTTAAACTGGGCGGCACTGACCCAGACAGGGCACGGTTTATGGCTTCTAGCCTTCTGCTGGCGTGGCCTTCTGTGTTGGAAACATGGATGGGTCCCTCTGAGTGGGTACTGGAGGGACTGAGGTCACCTCTTTCCCACCTATTATCCACGCGAAAGGCACGATGTTCCATGCCACCCACCACCACCACCAGCTCTACCACATCACACGGGGATCCATAGTTGCTTTGTTTGTTTGTGGGTTGCCCAGGGCTGTAACCCTGCTCTCCCCTGCCCCCAACTCCCACTAGGGCTGTGGTGCATAAAAAGGAGTCAGTGAACAAGCCCCCACTGCACCCCATCCTGGGGTCCATCAGTTCCTGCTGTAAGTGCCGTTGCTATGTCTGGGGGGCATCCCATCTGGAGACTCAGGAGACCCGAAGCTACTTGTAAATACTTACTGCTGGTGAGCCGCATTCGGGTGCTGGAAACACAGTGCCTCCCGAGTTGCTTCATTGGCAGTGAGCAGGGGCTGATGCCTGCTGGGTCTGCTAGCCAGCTGAAGTTCTTGGACTGCAGGTGGCAGCGGGGCTGGTGTGGGGTGGTGGTGTTCACATTCGACAGTGGCCCTAAGATCCTGGGGGTCAGTTCGTGGGTCCGAACTGGATGCAGGAGGTGAGGAGGGACCTGCTTTGCGATGGCTCCTGTCAGGAGCACCAGTGGGACCAGGTTCACAGTTTGCAGTTCCTGACCACTAGGCCCGTCCTGGTGAGATCTAGGCTGGAGGAGAAGAGTGGCCATTTAACCACACCACACACATGCATGCATGGGCATGGGAGGCTGGGAGGAGTGCGTCGGCAGAGAAGGGGACCTAAAAGGTCTTGTCTAGGCCACAGCCCACTCCACAGCCAAGAGGACGCAACAGGTCTGCTACCAGCCCTGAGAACAGTGAACACAGCAAGACTGATGACCTAAGACTGTTTACTCATCTCCCGTTAGAACCAGGACATGGGCAGTACTCAGTAGAAAATTGACACAGCAGCCACTGAGGTGGGGAGATGACGGGTGACCTTATTCTATGTCAGTCTTGAGTCTAAGGTGACAGTTAAGACACAAATATAAAGAGCAAATCTCTGGTAATTGGCAGGGTCAGGGACTGCATTTTGGTGGTTGTTAATGCCAAAGAAGAGGGCTCTCCTGGGCTCCATGGACAGATAAACATCATATCAACCTGCTTTGGTGTGACTATCACCACATGCTCTCCCTACAGCCCTGGTGCTTGCGCTGGGAGGGCGGAGGCTCGGCAGGGACCCTCACCCGGTACTCATGCAGCCGTCTCTGGCTCTGCTGGCTGGGGTGCAGCATGCGGGTGAGCTGCTGGACCACACCCATGCTCCGGATAAGGGTCTCCCTTTGCATAAGGGCCTTCATGCGCTCCAGCTCCTCCTCTTCCACAATTTCTTGGGGTTGCATAGTGTCCAGGTATACAGGAACCAGCTATGAGGGACACAAGCGTGAACTGCAGGTTCTCCAAGAATGCATCACAGACCTGTGGCCGGGGGAGTCACTGGGCATCCGCACTCTCACACATACATACACAGCTGCCACACAGGCTCCCTTTGCTGTTCATTCTCTCACCTCCAGTTCCCAAAGGTCAGATGCCATTACTGATTAGGCACTCCTCTCCCATGTGCGAGGGGAAGTAGGAACAGCAGAGTCCCATCCCTAGTAGTGCCCACCCTTTGGCCTGCAGGAAGGGATCAGCCCCCAACGCCCTGACACCTCTTTCTCCTGGATCCGTTTCCTGAAAGCCAGATGGGTGGCAAAGCCCCGAGGGCCCGGCTTGGCTCGGCTCTTCTCCCCGGCGGATTCCCCTTGGTTCTGGTCCCTGCTTTCCTTTCGCCTTCTAGTGCCCAAGGGGTCATGCTGTTCCTGCTTAAGGCGGATCTCTTCCAGCTGCTGCCTGATAAGACGATGTGGCTTCAGACATGGGAGAGAGCATGCTGGGGGGTCAAGGGAAGACCAGGGGTCAGGCAGCGGAGGGGTTGGGGAGAAAGTTAGAATCTGTGCTGGACACTCAGCAGCCAGGGTCATCAAGCTTCTCTCTCTCACTGCTGTGGGCATGAGGGTTCCCTGCCTACTCCAGGTATGGAGGAGCACACAGGGCAATGTACCTGGCACACTCCTCCCTGGCCTTGGAGGCGGCTGTCTCCTGGAAGAGGGAACCATTGTGCTTGAAGAAGGGTGCGTACTTCTCCGTGTCGGGTCCAGGATAGATCCTCCGGTACCCCCCGAGATGAGAGTCCTCGTATCGCTGCTGGTCCAGCATGGCAGAATGGGATGACTCGATGTGTTCTCGCCTATAGAGATCAAGTGCAGGGGAGGCTGCAGGAACCTCCCCTTCGGACCATGAGAGCAAGGCTTCTGGGCCAGGCCAGAGCCTGCCCCACTGCATGTGCGATTTGTCAGATTTCTGGTTTTAATAGGTGTCATGTGAACACCGGCTGGGGTCCTGGTGCTCTGCCTCTGATCCAGCTTCCTGACTATGTGCCTGAGAAAGCAGCAGAAGACGGCCTCAGTGCCTCAGCTCCTGCCTCTCTACTTGGGAGTCCCAGATGGAGCTCCTGGTTCCAACCTGGCCCAGGCGCAGCCAACTGTAGCTATCAAGGGGAGTGAATCAGAGAATAGAAGGTCTCCCTCTATCTGTGTGCATGTGTGTAACTCTGACATTCAAATAAATAAAAATCTTTTTTTTTTCTTTTTGAGGTGGGGGAAGGCAGATGTATTGAAAGAAGGAGATACAGAGAGAAAGAACTTCCATCCATTGATTCACTCCCCAAGTGCCTGCAACAACTTGTGCTGAGCCAACCCGAAGCCAGGAGCCAGGAGCCAGGAGCTTCTTCCAGGTCTCCCATGCAGGAGCAGGGTCCCAAGGTTTTGGGCTGCCCCCGACTGCTTTCCCAGGCCATGGGCAGGAAGCTGGATAGGAAGTGGAGCAAATGGAGCACGAATCAGTGCCCATACAGGATCCAGGTGGATACAAGAGGACTTTTTTTTTTTTTAAGGAGTAATACATATTTACTACAGAAAACTGTGGCAAAAATGATTGCAACCTCCTGTGACTTTACCGCATATGGTACATTGTCCGTGAGCACAGCATCTAGGGCTGGACCTCCTGTGTTGAAATCCTGGCTTTGCCTCTCACTAGCAATATGCCCACTATCAATCACTCTTGCTCTTCTTCAAAAATGCAGCCACATGGCAGTACTTTGAAATGGCTGCCTCATGTACAATTATCCCTGTGTTTATGTAGTCCACTAGTTCCCAACCACTTGTCCTCCTTGAAAGACACAGTCCGTGATATGGAGAGGTGAGGCAGACAGACGGTCCAATCTCATGAGGATACACACAGAATCAACAGTGGTCCTTGAGCTCCATTCATCACACACACACCTGCTAGGCCCAGAGACCCTCAGGGGGAACACAGGCAGGGCAGTGCCAGGAAGTTCTAGGAATCACCATGAATCTATTCCAGTTCATTTGTATGTGTCATTCACAAGGTCTGACTTTTGTATTGGAAACATAACCATGTTTGTGAACCAATTATGAAAGTGAAACAACCATGGGTGACCAATGATGACTCATAAAATTCCCCTATTGTTTTAACAACCAAACTTGTTTTCTAGATCTCATTAGTAAAGTTTCCCAGGAGACAGTTTGTAGAGGGAGCTTTGTTTAAAAAAAAATTCATAAAATCACATGCTAATATGAGAATAACTCAAATACACGGCTAAGCAGAGGGCACACTGTGTGAAAGTCAAGCCACTTATGCCACCTGAATACCCAGACACATGAGCTTCTAGACATGGCTCTTAGCTTCTTCAGTTCTCGGGAGCACTGATCATTCCCCAAGGAGCAAAACTGGGCAGCTGGGAGAAGAGGAGGCAAAAGAATATCATCTTCCTTTTTTCTTCCCCCTTGTTTCTCTATTTGTATTTTTTTTTGAGAGGCAGAGAGAGTGAGCTGTCATCAGTGGATTCATTCCCTAGATGCCTGCCCTGAAGCCTAGAGCCGTGGAAGCCCATCCCCGTCTCCCACAGGGGAGGAGGGGATAGGGATCCAGGAGAGCTGTCGCTGCTTGCCAAGGTCAACATTTGCAGGCAGCTGGAGTCAGGAGTGCAGCCAGCTGGCAAACCCAGGTACTCTATTACGGGTTGCGAGCATCTTAGCCACCAGGTCAGGTGCCTGCTCCTGGCTCTATTTTCTGTTTATGATATATGCTGTATGATTTTCTCTGCTAAAAATTGGTCTAATTAGACCCCACACCATTGCATTCTCTCTCTCTCTCTCTTTAACTTTGGTTCTTTTCCCTCAGTTGTGTCTTTGTTGTTCTTTTACTTACACTCCCTAGGCTTACACTCTAGGGAGAATACACACAGGGGACACACAAGGAGACAGGGCAGACAGCCGACACACCTGGGTTCCCGTGGCAGCGGGTGGCACTGGAACAGCCGCTCCTTAACCCGCCGCTTGTCCTCCTCGATCACTTTCTTCTTGTCGCAGCCCCGGAGGTTGACAAGCGTCATGGCGTCACAGAGCAGTGCGTCCTTCACCTCGCGGTCCAGGCGAGAGTCCGTGGTGAAGCTGGGAGAGTGGTTGACCTGCCGGGTGGGGCTGCTCGTCACCCCCCTGCTCCAGAGACCAGGCCTGGGGAGCCATTTTTCTGCCAAGGGCTGTTTGCCGGTGACTACCAAATGATTGGCTTGAAAATTAGCTTGCTGTGGGAGTCCCTCCTGTGGTTGCCTTGGCAGGGTCAGACCCAATCACTTCCACTTCATGGCCCTTCACAGTCCTTGGGTGCAGTGTTTCCTACCGCTGTCTAGACTGCTTGAGCAGCTGGGACTCTCTTTCCAGGCCCTTCCCTCCACGGCCTCAGCTAAGGAAGCTGACGGCAATCCCTCCAGTTGGCAAAAGCAACTGGACGCTGTGGCTTATGGTCCAGCTGTGGTCCAACCAGAGGCCACAGCTCACACCCACCCTTCCCCCTTGGAGGGGCTCCCACATCCCCCATTTTCTATCCTCTCCCCGGTGTCCTCCATAAGGCCCCACCTCAGGGCCTCGGTTCTGGCCACACTCGGGAGAAGCCGCACCTCCAGCAGCCAGGGCTTCAGCTTGTGGTCCAGCAAGATGTCAAAACCCAGGATCTCAAAGCAGGCACATGTACCTCCGCTCAGGTACTGGGGAAAACAGGTGCGGTAGTTGTGGCGCAGGACCGAGTGGGCTGAGATGACGGTTTTGATGATGATGTCCTCGATGTCCCCCCACAGTTCCCGAGGCTCGTAGCTGTGCTCCCGCAGCCAGGTGTTGAGTGTCGACAGCTTCCTGTGGGGCCCAGTGCTCATAGAGGCAGGCTACACTCCAGGCCACTGGGGCCTGGCCGCAGGCAGCAGCCTCTCTGACATCGGCCCACAGTATGAGCCTGGGCCCCAGGCTGCCGAGGGCTGCTAGAGTTAAATCCAAGGCCCCAGGCTGGGAGCTGCACTTAAGAGCTCAGGCACAGGGCAGGGGTCTGTGAAGGCAGAGTTTCCTGGAGCTGCTTCTGAGGGGCTGAGGAGGTAGGGAGGAAACAAAAAACAAAAAAGGCAGCGGGGAAGTACCTCTTACTGCCCATAGCATCATCCCGCACAAAATTCTCATTGTGTTTGTTGATGGCATAGTTGGTCAGGTGCATACAGACGTCCTCCTGTGAGGGACAGCCCTTCTGGCTCAGCCCTGGGCCCCATGGCAGTCTTTTTGCCACCCACCCCTACCTCACTCCCCACACAGGACCACTTTCCCCACCCCACCCCCGCTAGGACGGTCCTCATTGCCTTGCTTTCTCCCTCTCCCAGTCTCTCTCTCTCCCAGTCTCTTTCTCTTTCTCTCTCCCCCAGTCTCTCTCTTGCTCCCTCCCAGTCTCTCTCTCTCCCAGTCTCTCTCTCCCTCTCCCAGTCCCTCTCTCTCTCCCAGTCTCTCTCTCCCTCTCCCAGTCTCTCTCCCTCTCCCAGTCTCTCTCTCTCTCCCAGTCTCTCTCGCTCTCTCCCAGTCTCTCTCTTTCTCTCTCCCTATCACGCCTTCCTGGAATTCAAGCGCTAGTGGCAGTAGGGGAGAGAGGGGTTTGCTGCTTGGTCCCCTTACCAGGTTGTTGGAGCTAGGCTCCATGTAGGGCATGGTGGCGAAGCGGGCCAGACCCTCCTCGTACATGAAGATGCGGAGGGGGTCGCATGATGTGATCAGGACATAGACACGCATGTCAAACTTGAAGCCGTCAATCAGGAAGGGCTGAGAGGAGGCACAGCCAGGGGGCCGGACCATGATTCCACAGTGGGCCTCCATCCGGCTTTAGGGGTTTCACACACACCTAACCACTCATTCTCAACCAGGCTGGGCAGGGTCCATCTTGTTCTCAGGCAGCCAATAAGGGAATGGGCACAGACTAGGTAGAAGCTGGCAAAAGGCTACCTAGCTAAGTGAAAGAGCAGAGTCAAACCCAGACCTGCTTCCTGCTTCGGTGGGAGCCTAAAAAACCCATTTCCTCCAGGGGCTTAGAGACATGAGGAGGTGCCCCAGGGCTGGGGGCGGGGCCTGTGGTCACCTTGGAAATGTATTGCTGACAGATCATATGTTCCCCCGGCTTGATGTCCCGAGGATTCCGAGTGATGAAGATGCCGCGTCCCTGGCAGCCACTGTCGGGCTTGCAGATGTAAGTGCGAGTTTTTCGCTGGCGACCATAGGACTGGAAGTCCCCATAGCTATGGGTAGGCAGGGGCTGCTCAGAAGGGCCACGGTGCAGCCCCCCTGTCTCCAGACAAGGCAGGGGCTTTGTGGCACCTTCCGGCTAGCTAGTCCAATCTCAGCCCGGAGCCCCTGCGTTCCCATTCATGTTTCTTTTGACCAGCTGCCATGTCCTCATTGCCCACTGCCTCCCTGCTAAAGCCCAGGGGGTGGGGGTAGGGAGAACTCAGGTGCCAGCTGGGAGCCAGGCTCCACTCACTCGGCGGGGAGGCACCAGGTGCGGGGGAAGATGCAATACTCGGTAGGGTAGAGTTTCTGCATGCGGTTGAGGTTCCGCGCCAGCAGGTCTTTGCGGCAGATTTCTGTCATGCCAGGGAAGTGGTTGATTTTCTGAAACAGGCACAGGTGGTTCTATTACCCCTAGCTGCCCCCCCCCCCCCGCCCAAATCCCAGGACTCAGTTAGGAAACTGTGCTCAGTTTCCTAATACAAGAGCAATGAGGGAGAACTGCAAGACTCCGGCATCTCACAGAGAACAGACTTCTCAGCCTCTCCTGACACAGCCACACCAAAGTCAGGAAATGAGGGGCAGATGTGGACCCTGGGGATACCATCTGACTTCCCTCAGGACACCAGCACTAGTCCCTTAGCGTGAGGAAACAAGCCAGCCTGAGGTCTGGAAGATGACATTTCTCAAAGGACACTGGGGAAGGGAACCCTGGGAACCAGCTGCAGACCCACATCCTGGGCGCCCAGCAGACATGGCATTGCCAGGGCACCTCATGGAACACCTGCAGCCCCAGCCCTGTGCAATAACCCTGTGTGGCATCACAGTGGCACTTGGGTCATGACGGACCATGGATCTGGGAGGGGCCTTGCCTGAATTGAAGTCACCCAGGACATTTCACTGCCTTAGTTCAGGTGAACCCACAGGGGCCTCCACTGCGGGACTCAGCACCTCATTCAGCTGCATGGGGACTTCTCTAGCGTCACTGAGGCAGTCACATGCCTCTGGTGGACCCCCAGCCTATCTTCCCTACCTGCTGGCAGCCAGAGACCCACCTGGACCCTGAGGAAAGTGCTTAGGTGGCCGGCCCATCCACTGGCCCCACCTGTTTTAGCTTGGATGCTGCCCCTCTCCACCCCCTTGTCTGCCCCCTAAGTTGGGCTCATTACCCATCCCAGATGCCACAAGGGGTGCACAGCAGATACTGCCTTCTGACATCAGGAGACCCCGGGTGTGTGTCTTCTGCCGACATATGGGAGCATGGCCACAGAGGGACTGCCTTGGGCGTGGGGATGGGGGTGGCACGGGAGTAGCCACTCTGGATCTCAGACTAGGACTAGGACCAGGACCAGGACGTGGGTACCTGAAACCTCTTCATTTCCATGACTCGCTCGAGTGACACAGAACAGTCTGTCCAGTACACAGTCCACTCTTCCTCATCTCCCACCTCCTTCAGGCCACATATCTGGGCTGCCCGTCGCACTGCAGAGACACAGAGGTCAGGGGTGCTAACAATGACAACATGCGGGATGGATCAGGGATGGAGGGTAGGGCTGACGACCCCAGCTGGGGTCAGTGTTGTGGCTTAGCTACCAAGTGGCAGCCCTCAGATCAGGCTGGCAGGGCGCTCCCAGAACACCCATGGAGGAAAGCAGAGATAACCTCTACTCCTGTCAGGCCTGGGGCTGGTCTGAGAACTGACCCCAAGTGGGGGGACCCTGCTGACACTACCCACTCTAGGTGGCCTCTGGCACAGATGCCAGTGGGAACAGCAAGGGAGGCAGGAAGGCTGCAGACATAACTACTGTGTGCTGTGTGTGTTTACGACTGAAGTCCCTCCAAACTTCCTTAAAGGGGTCAGCATTGAGGCACAGAGGGAGACCGTGACATTCTATTTGAGTGCTGGTTCCAGGTACGAGTCCTGGCTTCTCCAGTTCGGATCCTGGAAGTGGCCTGGGAAAGCAGCAGAGGATGGCCCAAGTGCTTGGGTCCCTGTGTTCATGTGGGAGACCCAGATGGTTTTCCAGGTCCTGCCCTCAACCTGATCCAGCTCTGGTGATTATGGTCATCTGCAGAGTGAATCAGTTCCCTTAAAAATGGTTTTAACCCTTTGTCATCCCTTTTCTCGCCTGGAAAAGGGAGCAGTGGCGGCCACTGGCTTTCCTCATTACTAACTACAGAGGTACCCACCCTATTGCCAGGAGTAACTTGGACTTAACCACTTGCGCCACCGCGCCGGGCCCACCAGCCAGGCCCGCCAGGAGTAACTTGGAACAGTCAATTCCTCATTGCCGAAGGCAGAGCCTGGGGCACCGGGGAAGATCCAGAGGATGGAACCTGGGGCGGGGGGGTTTGGCGCAGCACCTTGCAGTGGTGGGAGCCATGGGCTGGGTGCTTACCACTCTCGTATTTGCAGCCAGACAGATTGATAGCCAGGGGTCTGCAGTGGAGGAAGGGGACTAGATCAGGCAGACGGAGAGATGGACAGAACCCTGGCCAGCAGGCACCGCAGGCAGAGCCCTTGGCTGGATTCAATGTACAGCTCACTGAGACCAGGGTTGTGGAGACAGGCTGATGGGTCGTGATGAAGCCAGCCCAAGAGCAGTTCTGCATTTTGCTTCTATTGCAACCGGTGTTTTTCCCGTTTTAAAGGCTCACAGGAGGCCTTGGACCCCAGCCCGCCCACTGAAGGGAGACTCTTGGGAGGCGGATGGGTGAGGGGTCCAGGGACTCATTACCTGCGTTTCCGCCTTCTCCTCCTCCTCCCAGCTTCGAAGTCGTTGTTAGGGGTTATGATTTTCTTGGCTACAATGGATAAGGGAATTCTATTCTCCAGTGCCTTATAGTTTTCTTTCAGGAGCACCTGTGGGGGAGGGTGAGGAGGGATGGGGGCTTCCACTTTGATGCATTCTTCCTCCGAGTCCTCTTCCTCAGCATAGTCTTCCTCGGATTCACTGGTCTTACAGGTGCTTGGCTCCATTCTGCTAGACTCTGAGGGAGGAGGGGCAAACGCATCATCCTAGGGGAGGGGAGTTCAGATGGGGTCCACCCCAGAGACTTGTGAGTTCCCCAAGGGAAGGTCACTTTGCTCGTTTGGGACAATTCCATCCCAGCTGGAGGAGGGGGAGCCATCCTAGGACACACTGGGTCACAGGATGGGTCACATGATTGAGGTGCTTGCAAATGTGCATGGAGATGGCTTTCCTCTTTCTAAGTGGGAAGGGGCCCAGGGCAACCTTGGCTTTGAGATAGGACTGAAGACCCCAGTTCTGCTAGGCCAGCCTTCTCCCTCTCCCTCTCCCAAGACTTGGTTTCTCTGTTTTTACACACTGGGGCAGGGGCTGGATGGTGGAGACCCCTTGGGCTCTGAGGGCAGCGGGGAAAGCCCAAGGCCGACGCTGCCTTCTCCAGCTTCCCAGGAGAGCCGAGGAGCTGCTGGGTCCACCCCTAGCGGCCTGGGTCGGGCCTCCGAGGGTCGCTCATGTCCACCCTCCGGCAGCTCCAGCTCTTCCGGAGTGCTGCCCGGAATCCGGGACCGCCTAGCCTGTTCCGCAGGACCGGCTGTCTCCTCCGGTCGCGAGGGAGAGCCCGCTCCCCCTCAGGGGTCACGCGTAGCTCCGAGATCCCGGTGGCGGCGGCGGCCGCCTGTCCTTCAGCACGACAGCAGCCGCCGCCGCCACCGTCGCCATGGTCACGAGGGCGGCCCCCACGGGAGAGGCGTTGTGGGGGCGGGGTCTCCCGTCAGGTGCGTGGCGCGCCACGCGGGTCTCCCGCATACCGCCGACGGGCGCCACCCCAAGCGACCCCTCGCCACCCCACGCCACCCCTTCACGGGTCGGGACAGGCTGCATCAAGGTGGGCCGACCTGGCACAGCTCACTAAGGAGTGAAAAGCCTTCTGCCACGTCACTCCTTTAACCGCTGCTTCCTCCCCAAGTTTTGTTTTCCTCCGTTGCCACATCGCTCACAGATCCACAGGACACTAGACGAGAAGTGGGGCAGGAGTGAAGGGAAGGCTGATGCAGCAGCTGCGACGTAATCCTTCCACACTCATGTGCCTGGGTTCAAGTGGTTGCTCCACACCACTTCTGGCTTCCTATGATGACTCAAGACCTTTGTCACAGATTGAGTCTGTCCCAGAACCAGCGGTTGTTGGGAATTTGGGGGGGGGGGGGGCGGTTGTTCAGTGACTGGAAGATGGGTGCTCTTTCTCCCTTTCAAATAAGTAATGTGTTTTCTAAAAGATTTATTTATTTATTTTTAAATTGCAAAGTCACATATATAGAGAGAGAGGAAGAGAGACAGAAAGGAAGATCTTCTGTCTGATGATTCATTTCCCAAGTGACTGAAATCGCCGGTGCTGAGCCGATCCAAAGCCAAGAGCCAGGAGCTCTTCTGGATTTTCCAAGCAGGTACAGGGTCCCAAGGCTTTGGGCTGTCCTCGACTGCTTTCTCAGGCCACAAGCAGAGAGCTGGATGGGAAGCAGGGCTGCCGGGGTTAGAACTGGTGCCCATATAGGATCCCGGCACATGCAAGGTGAGGACTTTAACCATTATGCTATCGTGCCGGGCCCACTAATGTATTTTCTTTTAAAAGGTTTATTTTTATTGGAAAGTCAGACTTACAGAGAGATGGAGAGACAGAGAGAATGATCTTCTATCTGCTGGTTCATTCCCCAAGTGGCCACAATGGCCAGGACTGAGCCAGTCTGGAGCTAGGAATCAGGAAGTTCTTCCAGGTCTCCCATGTGGGTACAGGGTCCCAAGCATTGGGCCATCCTCTGCTGCTTTCCAGGCCACAGGCAGGGAGCTGGATGGGAAGTGGAGCAGCCAGGACACAGACCAGCACCCATATGGGATCCTGATGTATCCAAGGTGATGATTTAATTGCTGAGCCATTGTACTGGGCCCAAGTAATGTATTAAAACAAACAAATGCTCTTTCTTGAAATGCTTTGGTGTGCTGTGATTTCCAAGCTGTTTTTTCCCACTGTGTCAACACAAACATGCTCTGTGTCTCAGCTTTGCCTCGGGAGGAAGCAGAGTGGTGAGTCTCATCAGTACTACTGACTGAGGACAGAAACCCAGCTCCTTCCATCTCCTGCTTGAACTGACTGGGAGAAAGGAGTGACCTCCAAGCAGGCCAAGCCAGAAGGCCTTCTCTGCCACAGACAGAAATGCCTGGGCTGGAGGAGCATCAGCACGCCTCCCTCCCCAGCGTCCATCAAAGCACATGTTCAGATCCTGACAGGGAACTGGATTGTGGCCATGCTCAAAGGACAGGGTTCCAGTATGACAGGCACCCATTCCAAAGTTTGGAAATGGCTTCACTCAGTCCACATTCTTCTTTCTACACTTTACCTTAGCCAAAAGGCTGAGAAGCAATCACATTCTCCATTTTAAAATTTTGTTTTAATTTTATTTTAATATTGTTTACATAGTTGAGAAGGATGGATGCCCTTGTGGACCTGCAATATGACTTCTTCAAGATTTATAAAACATGGACTGGCATTGTGTCACAATAGGTCCATGCAAAGACATGGACATTCAGTATCAGATTGTGGCTTCTAGTCCTGGATGCTCCACTTCTAACTCAGCTTCCTGCTATTACATCTGGGCAGGTAGTGTCAGACTGATCAAACAATGGGGCCCCTGCTTATCCTTGCAGGAAACTCTGGTGGGGTTTCTGGCTCCTGGCCTAGGCGGGCAGCTACAGCCATTTGAGGAGTGAATCAGCAGGTGGAAGATCTCTTTCTTTGTCTCCCTTGGCATTTAAGTAGATAAGTAAATATATCTTAGGGGAAAAAAAAAACACCGTGGAGTGGGTGTGGACCACAGGAAGGTGTAAAGAGAAGAGCTCCCCTTTTGGGAAGGCTATGAGGAGCTTCCAGCTGTGCAGAAGGCCTGGCAGATGTCTCTACGATCACTTCAATGCAGTTTTACCCTCTTTGCATGGACACTCAATCACCCCACTAAGAATTCTATAATTGATTGATACATCACTGTTTGCTCTTGTGAAATGGTTTTTGCAATTGATGTGAATTTGGGAGTTAATGTTGCTGATCAACATGTCTTGGTGAGTAGGCCTTTAGCAATTTACACAGCCAGCAGCTTCTTGAGCTGTTAATTGAAGGCATCAAGTGATCCTGTCTGCGTCTGTTCGCTGATGCCACATGTCCTACTTGAGCTCCAAACTCGGCTGGAGCTGGCCTCCGGCAAGTTGGGAAACACCAGAATAAAGAAAATTTGGAAGCCAGCACAGTTTTGTTGCAATCTAATCCTCCACTCTGTTGCACCAGCATCCCATTTGGGCACTGATTTCTATCCAGCTGTTGCACTTCCCATTTAGCTCTCTGCTTGTGGCCTGGGAAAGTGGTGAAAGACGGCCCAAGCCTTTGGGATCCTATACCAGAAGAAGCTCCTGACTCCTGGCTTTGGATCAGCTCACCTCCAGTCATGGTGACCATTTGGGAAATGGACCAGTGGATAAAAGACCTTCTCTATTTCTCCTTCTGTCTCTGCAAAATGTATCACACATAAAATTTTTACAAATCAAAGCCCTCCCCCCAATCTCTCTCTCTTTTGTTTTAATAGAAAAATGCATTTGGGCTGGGGAAGGCTTTCCTTTGAACATCAATCCTAGAGAGAAACAGGGAGAATCCTAATTTTTTATCTTCGATGCAGAATCCACTTTGCTGTAAGGATCATCTACACTCTCTTCTGAGAGTGGACTAATGTAGATAATTGGAAATTTGCAGCTACTAAAGCTTTCCAAGAAAGCCATTCTATGTATTACATTATGCCAAAATCAAGAGGGTATCAAAAAAAAAATTGCTGACATTTGGGCCTGGCACGGTGGCATAAGGGTTGACGTCCTTGCCTAGCACATCCCAGGATCCCATATGGCCACTGGTTCTAATCCTGGAAGCCCCGATTTCCATCCAGCTCCCTGCTTGTGGTCTGGGAAAGCAGTCGAGGACGGCCCAAAGACTTGGGACCCTGCACCTGTGTGGGAGACTTGGAAGAGACTCCTGGTTCCTAGCTTTGGATTGGCGCAGCTCTGGCAGTTGCACCCAGTTGGGGAGTGAACCATCGGACGGATCTTCCTCTCTGTCTCTTCTCCTCTCTGTATTTATCTGCCTTTCCAATAAAAATAAATCTTTAAAAAAATTGCTGACAATTTTTATAAGCTTTTCTCCTTGCTAAGTAGGTTAATGTACACATTTTGCTTCATCCTGATGAGACTATGATATTTTTGCAGATCTAACACTGCTGATTAAAATTCTACATTTCAGCTTTCTCCTTTTTTTTTTTCTTTAGTAAAATTTAATTTTATTTTTCATATTGCTTACATAGCTGAGAGGTCCATATGGGTCTCCGATTAGGGTAGGGAGGGTAGAAGTAGAGAGGAAGCGGGTTGAGACAAATGGTTGTTTGTGTGTGTGTGTGTGTGTGTGTGTGTGTACCTGTTGTGGGGAAAAGAGAAGGGTGGCAAACTACATTAAAGCTTTCTCCTATAGGCCTGGACTCAAGGAACCACCTGCTGAAAGCTCAGTGCCCACCTGTGGTGTTGGAGGACACAAGATGTCCAGTAGTTTGGGGTGGTGCCAATGTTGTGAGAAGTCAAAGAGACTGTGGAAGGTAGGAGTCCCTAAGGTAGCAGCACCAGGAGAGGCAGGTGAGTAATAGCAAGGGTTGGGGAGTCCTGGATGTGGATGGAGCAAGGAGGCCTTTCTGCTTGCAGCTCATGTCTTCACCCACAGTCTGTTTAAAAAACTTACTTGGGCCCAGCGCCATAGCATAATGGTTAAAGTCCCTGCCTGTGGCCTGGGAAAGCAGTCGAGGATGGCCCAAAGCCTTGGGACCTGCACCCGCATGGGAGACCTGGAGAAACTTCTGGCTCCTGGCTTCTGATCGGCACAGCACCAGCCGTTGCGGCCACTTGGGGAGTGAATCACTGAATGGATTTTTTTAAACATGTACTTATTTTTAT